GCGAGGGACTCCGGCCCCGGGGATGCGCACCCAGCCCGCCAGCGCGCCACAGAGTCCCGCTCGCCATGGGTAAGTTCGGATCAGGGGCAGCCGGCAGGGAGCGTCGCCCCCAGGGTGGGCACCCAGCCCCGCACCCCGCCCCGCACCCCGCAAGCGCGCCCCTCCACGGCCCCTACGGCGCCCGGCCGGATGCCACCGCCCGGGGGTCAGGCCCGGGGCGCGGGCCCGCGTCTGGGGGCTGGGAAGCGGCTGGAAAGGGGCTGGGCCCGCTGCCCTCCCTCCTTTCTGCCTGGGAAAAAGTGACTCCCTATTTGACAGGGGCGTTTACTCCGGCCCAGACACCCGCCCGGCCGCTTTCAGCCTCACACCTCCCAGGGGCAAAGAAAATTGTTCCTATTCTGCAGGTGAAGGACTGGAGGCTCCAGAAGAAGCAGAGTCAGATTCGCTGAGCACTCTTGTGGGCTCAGGGCCCAGGCACTGCTTGGGGCCTTGAGGATTCTGCCACCAACAAAACTTGCTAAAGCCCTGCTCTGGAGGCGATTCAGGGGAGGAGGCAGAGGAGATTCGAATACAGAATGGGTGTGGGGAGAAGGGGATTTTTGTGGTTGTTGCCACAAGGGACTATGGTTTCTGTTTTTCTCTCTGGATTCAGAAGTCTCAAAGGGGCATTTCCTCATTCATTCTTTAGTGAGCACCTACTAGGTGCCAGACCGTGGTTTAAGTGATGGGTTTTCAGCAGTGAACAGAATAGACAATCCTCCCCTCTCCCGTGGAGCTGACCACCTGATTGAGGAGCTGGACAGACAGGTTTGTGGATAAAATAATTTCAGAGAGCAGTAAGTGTTGTGGACACGTAAACCAAGTGGTGTGATGGCCAAACGTGAGCTCCTTAGATAGGTGGGCAGGGGGGACTTCCCCATGTAAAACAGCCTTGCAGCTGAGACGTCACTGAGAATTGGGTCTTGCTCAGTTTGGGGGGAACAGCTTCCAGGTGGCAGGGACAGCAAGAGCCAAGTCCTGAGGCATTAGAGGCTGGCCTGGTACAGGCCAGTGTGGCTGGAGCACAGAGGGTGAAGAGAGAGTGCCCAAAAGGACATTAGAGAATTGAGCAATGGCCAGATCATGTGGTGTTTTGTAGCCCATGGGGAGAGGTTTGTGTTTTATTCCAAATGATTTAAGAAGCTGGAGGAAGGTTTTAAGCTGCCATGGGAGGCAGGACCTGAATTATCTTTTAAAAGTTCATTCTGGGTTGTTCTGTGGAATAGCTAACACTGGCTATGTATGTAAGTATCATTGTCCCATTTGTAGCTGGGGAGGCTCAGAGAGGTTAAGTGAGTGCCCTAAGCCACTCAGCTCTGCATTCTAGCCACTGTATATCACCCAGCACAACTAATGACCAACTCCAGTTCTGATTCCAGAGTTCATCCCCTTTATGGCACACTTCCCCAGAGCCTGAAGCAACTGAGGCCCAGGGTGGACAAGGTTCTCCCCAGGACACTCAGGTTGGCCCTGGCCCCTTTCCCTTCCTAAGTCAATTCAGCAGCTATTTACTGAGCATCTGCTACTGAGCTAGGCTGTGCTGTACAGGCCGGGGAGCTGTGAAATAACCACCACTCTGCCCTGTCCTCCCAGTTCCCAGGCTGCTCTCTTTATGGCAGGATCCAAAGATTGGGTCTATATGTAGACTTTGGGATTAGAACTGGGTTCCAGCCCCAGTTCTCACACTTTGTTGTGACCTGGGACATGTTTGTCAACCTCTCTGACCTTCATCTGGTTACAACAAGATACACTTATCACAGGGTCGTCATGAGAATGACATGGAAAAATGAATTTAAAGTGATCAGCTCACCACCTCCACATGGTAAAAGAGTTAATGTAGGTTTGGGGGGTTTTTTGTTGTTGTTTGTTTTGTTTTTTTTATCACACTCAACACTGGGACTCTGGAGTCGGACTGCCAGAGTTCAAGTCCCTGCTCTGTCACAAATTAGATCACTTTGTACAAGTGTCTTCACCTTTCTGTGCCTCGGTTGTTATATCTGTAAAATAGGAATGGCAACAGTGCCTGTGTCATAGAATTGTCATAGGAAGTAAGGCAGCTGGTACAGATATGCCCCTAAAACAGTGGCTGGTTGCAGGGAATCCTGTAAGTATTAGCTGTTGCAGATGTTTGAAAGCCAGCCTTCTGCATGAGGATATTCGTACAGTTCAGCGTCACTCCTGACTTTCCTCCAGTGCACTAGGAAGCACCCAATGCATTGTGACTTCTGGTTGACACACTGCTCTCGTGGCACCAACAGAAGGAGCCTTGGCACTTGCAGCTGGTGAAATGTCACCCCAAACCTAGGTTCCCCCCCCACCCCTACCCCTGGCTCTCTCCCTGGGAAGCTCTGCCCTCCACTGTGAATGGCTTAGAGAATCAGGGATTTCCTCCACTGTGACACATTTTGATGAGGAGGACTTGTAAAGGAACTCACAGTAGGGTGTGACCAAATGAACGGAGCATGCCGAGTTATTGGAAGTCAGAAATGTGGCTCAGAGAGTTGAGGAAGATGTACAGGAATTCGTCAGGGCCCCTATCAAATTTGCTTAAGCCAAAAAAGAGTACTTATGGGTCACTGAGAAGTTCATGGCTTCAGGTGCGATTGAATCCAGGGGCTCAGATGATGTCTGGAATTCCTCAGGTGGAAGATGCCCCCAGCTGCTCAGGCAGGTAAACCAGCAGCTTGGCACCCCCAGTGAGCAGACACCCCTCAGCTGACTCTCATTGGCCCAGGTTCACCTGTGTGGCACTCACTGCTGCCCAGGGCCCAGGAATCTGCTGAGCTATCCGATCAGATCTGGATCACAGACCCAACCCTGGGGCCAGGCATGGAGGCGGAGGGGGGTAGGGTGGAAGTGGAGCTGGTTATCTCCACCCAGACCAGGGGACCACGAGACAACAGGAAGAGTGGCTCCCAGCAGAAGTGGAGGAATTGTATACAACAGCGTGTGTAACTGCAACCTCCTTGGGGAGGTGACATGGGATCTGGGACTGAAGTGGGAGAGTAAGGGGACCAAGGGACTCTTTCTTTGGGGGAACAAGAGCAGTGCAAGCAGAAGCACCCCCGTGTGCAGAGATGGAGCAGAGTGAGAGTGTGTGATGCACGCTGGCAGCAGAAGGTGCGTATGGGCGGCTTGGGGACAGGCCCAGGACAAGCAAGAGAAATGGCCCAGGAGTCAAGTCAACCAGTGAAGGGCCCTGGATGCCACACTAAGGAGGCTGGATTTGTTCAAATAGGTGATGGAAGCCATGGCAAGGCTTAGGAAGGAATGTTCTTCCCTGGTTTTTCTCTCTGACTCCTTTGGAGCTCTCCTTCATAGCTCCTTGGGACAGTATTACTTCACCATCTTTTGTCCCTTGGGATTTTCCTGAGAGCCCTTTCCCTGTAACCCCTGCCCCTGTCCCCTGCTCTCTCCTACCCCACCACCTATCTCTGCTTGGCCTTCCTTGCTAGTTAGTAGGTCAGTGCAGCAAAGTTCTTAAGTATGCGGATTTGAGAGTCTTGTGAGTCACCATTTCCATCCTGATCCTGTTGCATTATGGCTGTGGGAGCTCTGTGTGCCTTAGTTTCTCCATCTGTAAAATTGGACACTTGTGGCTGTAGCAGCACTAGGGCTGCTAGGAGGATGAACTGGGAGAAGGCACGCAGAGCCTTTGACAGAGGAGGTGTTCCATCAACAACACCCGTTAGGTTTCTATTTTATTTCATTCTTATTGTTCTCTTACCTCCGCAACCCACGTCTGCAGTGATCTATTTCCCAGCAGAGCCTGTGGGCAGCAAGCTTGGCCTCTGAACCCTTTGGCTGAGCCCAGGAAATGGCAAACAGATTCTGTGCTCTCACCTCTATTGCCTCACACAGCCGGGAAGAACCTTCCTTTCTGGTTTCAGGAACAAGGCTTGGGGGGGGTGCAAAGGGAGCGGAGTTGGGCTCATGTTGACTGACACGAGGAAGAGTCAGGATGAGGCCAGCTGGGGGTTATTTCTCTGGGGGCTGGGATGGAGGGGGAGAAGGGTGAACAGAATGGGGTGGGCAGGGAATGGTTCCTATGGAACTCCCTCTGCACAAAAGTTGTCTCCTGGACCTGAGAAGAGGCTGAAGTAAGAGAGAACAGAGCGAAATCTTATCACACCAGCGTTTTATAATGGGGCGGTCAAGAGTGTGGGCTGTGGGGCTAGAAGCCTGGCTTTGATCTGAACCTCCGCTGCTTACTACTTTTGACCTTAGGCAAGTCACCTCACCTCTCTCATGATCGGTTTATTCATTCACAAATAACACAAGCTCCTACCTCATAAAGTTGTGGTGGGAATTAAATGAGTTATTAAACACTCCGAACAGTGCCTGAGCCAGAGAAAACACTCCGTAAATCTGCCTATGGCGTTACAAATGTTCTTCTCAGATTCAGGGCGGGGGGAGAAGGAGATAGATACTGCTGGATTGCTCTAGATGCTTCCAGAAATATACACCTTTAAGTGTGTGTATGGAAAGTTAAGGGCAATCTGCACAGCTCCCCTGACAATAGGGTAGGTCCTAGCCACATGGGGCTATTTTTATATGTAGATTAATTAAAATTTAAATAAATTAGAAAGTCAGGCTCGGCGCCTATAGCTCAACCGGCTAAGGCGCCAGCCATGTACACCTAAGGTGGCGGGTTCGAATCCCCAGCCCGGACCCGCCAAACAACAATGACGGCTGCAACCAAAAAATAGCCAGGCGTTGTGGCGGGCGCCTGTGGTCCCAGCTACTTGGGAGGCGGAGGCAGGAGACTCGCTTGAGCCCAGGAGTTGGAGGTTGCTGTGAGCTGTAATGCCATGGCACTCTACCCAGGGGGACAGCTTGAGGCTCTGTCTCAAAAAAAAAAAAAAAAGAAAGTCAGTTGCTCCATCACATTAGCCACATTTCAAGTGCTCAGGACCCACATGTGCCTAGTGACTACATCGGACAGCACGGAGAGAGAAAATTCTATTAGATAATGCTGCTCCAAAAAGAATAGAAATAAGAAGTAGTCAGTGGTGAAAAAAATGGAACGTAAAAACCTTAACTGATCCGTCAAAAGCAGAAACCTACCTGATATGGTTGTGGTAAGGATTATAGGAAATGATGCAAAAATATTTTCCATTAAGCCTGGCACAGAACATTTATGAACCGACGGCTACTTTTCTCCTAATTTGCCAAAGATTCCACGTTCTCATGTGTTCATGACACCATTAGATGAGGCATGAACTTTTCAATTTGCCACAGTCCCCACCATTCCTTGTTGTCTTTACATGCAGCCCATTTTACTCACTTACGTTAACTGGCAGCTCTTTCCTATAACATGTATGGCATTTCCTCTTCAGCCTGTCATTACTACTCTCATCTTGTGTAACCTCTTCACCTGTCTTCTCTCTTGCTCTGTGCTTTCCGTGCCAGGAAGGGAAGCTTTCACTAGGTTAGAAACTGTAAGGATTTTTTTTTTCCATCATATTCAGAAGTCTGGGGATTGACACTCCATTGTTGATATGATAGGTTTCCTGTTATCAGGGACCCAGGCCCCTCCTGTATTTTGTTCCGCAATGTCAATGCATAACTTGCATCTCGTGGTCATCTCTCCACTGTGTTCCAAAATGGCTGCTGGAGTTCCAGCCATAAGATTTGTATTCCAGGCAAGAAGTAAAGGAACAAGAGGGATAGGCAGAAAAGATGCTAGCCAGCAGTCTGCCTCGTCTCCCCATCTCACGCACTTCTTAGAGAGCCTTTCTCCAAGTCCCACTGAAAAAGTACCTCTTCTGTCTTATTAGCCACCTGTAGCAGTAGGGAAGGCTGGGAAATACAATGTTTTTAGCTGTATGTAGTCCTGATGCCAGAGAAGAAGGGATGAGTGGACATTGGGTGGGTCACGTCCACCTCTCTTAGAATCTCCATCCAACCCCAAGAACAATCTTTTAAAAATCAAAAATAGATAAGCTCACTCCTAGCTGAAGCGATCAAAGGTGTCCATCCACTGAGAATGAAACTCATCATTCATTGTCCTTGGGACCTGCAAAGCCGCACATGATTTGGCCCCTGCCTTCTCCTGGCTCCAGCTCCTCTGGCCTCTCTGCTGATTAGCAGAGTGATTAAAAGCCCCCACTCTAGCCACATCAACTCTGCCACTTACTTGCTGTGTGACCGTGAGAAAGTTTCTTAACCTTCCCGCTCCTTACAGGATGATGCAAATAATATATTATAGGGTTGTTGCAAGATTTAAATGAGAAAATATGTACAAAGCTCTTAAAACAGGTTCTGGTATTTAGTGTTTACCATGTAAGTACTAGCTATTAATATTCATAGTTGCTCAAACGTACCCCAGACTGTCCTACTTCGGGGCCTTTATACTTGGTCTTCCCTCGATTTGTTTTTCTCCGAGATTTCCCCCTTGCTTCATTCAGATCTCTGCTCAAATTTCCCCTCTTTAGAGAAGCCTTAGCTGCCCACCCTATTTAAAGTAAGATAGCTACATCACTCTCAATACTCTTTCCCGGCCTTATATTTTATGACATCGCTCACCATCTGAAATTACATACTTACTTATAATCCTCCTGTTTCTAGAAAGGCAGGTCCTTGGCAACATCACTCTATTCCAGCCTCAAGAACACTACCTGGTATGATGCCAGATAAATAAATGTAGATGGATGGATGGGTGTGTGCATGGGAATATAAAGGTGGGTAGGTGCATTCATGGATAGACTTGTGGGGAGATGGACCAATAAATCAATGTGTGCTTGGGTGAATTATGGGTAGATAAATGGGCAGATAGATGGATGAATATATGGATAAATGAATAGATGCATGGATGAATGGAGAACAGATGGAAGGGTGAATGAATGTGTGGTTGAATAGATACATGTACAATAGATGGATGGCCAGAGGATGGATGGATGGATGGATGGATGGATGGATGGATGGGTGTTTGAGTAGATGGAGTAAATGGATAGAAGCTGGGTGGATGGACAAATGGATGAGTAGATGGATGGTGGAATGCATGGCTGAGTAGATGAAGACAGGTAGATGGAGACGTTGACAGATGGAGGGGAGGTTGAATGCTATCACTTTTGTTTTTCAGGCCGTCTCCCACGTGTCCTGCCCCTGTGTGCCTCTGTGTCTTTGCTGGGTGGTCTCACCTTTGGATATGAACTGGCCGTCATTTCAGGTGCCCTGCTGCCACTGCAGCTTGACTTTGGCCTAAGCTGCTCAGAGCAGGAGCTCCTAGTGGGCAGCCTACTCCTGGGGGCTCTCCTCGCCTCCCTGGTGGGGGGCTTCCTCATCGACCGCTATGGCAGGAAACAAGCCATCCTCGGCAGCAACTTGGTGCTCTTGGCAGGCAGCCTGGGCCTGGGCCTGGCGGGCTCCCTGGCTTGGCTGGTCCTGGGCCGCGTGGTGGTTGGTTTCGCCATCTCCCTGTCCTCCATGGCCTGCTGTATCTATGTGTCAGAGCTAGTGGGGCCGTGGCAGCGGGGAGTGCTGGTGTCCCTCTACGAGGCAGGCATCACTGTGGGCATCCTGCTCTCCTATGCCCTCAACTATGCACTGGCCAGTGCCCCCCAAGGATGGAGGCATATGTTTGGCTGGGCCGCCGCACCTGCTCTTCTGCAGTCGCTCGGCCTCCTCTTCCTCCCTGCTCATGCAGAGGAGATGGCAGCCCACAAGGATCTTATTCCACTCCAGGGAGGTGAAGCCTCCAAGCTGGGCCCAGAGAGGCCACAGTATTCCTTTCTGGACCTCTTCAGGGCACGGGATAACATGCTAGGTCGGACCACGGTGGGACTGGGGCTGGTGGTTTTCCAGCAGCTGACGGGGCAGCCCAATGTGCTATGCTACGCCTCCACCATCTTCCGCTCGGTCGGCTTCCACGGGGGATCCTCAGCTGTCCTGGCCTCTGTGGGGCTAGGTGCAGTGAAGGTGACAGCTACCCTAACTGCCATGGGGCTGGTAGACCGTGCCGGCCGCAGAGCCCTGTTGCTAGTTGGCTGTGCCCTCATGGCCCTCTCAGTGAGCGGCATAGGCCTTGTCAGCTTTACTGTGCCCATGGACGCAGGTCCAAGCTGCCTGGCCATGCCCAATGCCACTGGGCAGACAGGCCTCCTTGGAGCCTCTAGCCTGGTGAAGGGCTCATCTTCACCTGTGATGCCAAGCACCAGTGAGGACCACGGGAAGCCATTCTTGTCAACTGTTAAGAAAACCAAGCCCTACTTCAGAGATGGAGACCCCACAGCCTCTGCCCTGCCAGCACTGAGCACCGGCGTCCCGGTGTCCCCGCTCCCCTCCCCCGAGCACACACTGCTGCGCTGGACAGCCCTGGTCTGCCTGATGCTCTTCGTCAGTGCCTTCTCCTTTGGATTTGGACCCAGTAAGTGGGGTTTCCTTTCAGGTACCTCTGGCCCCTTTCAGCCTATTAGAGGGAACTTGGGGGGCTGTACCATCGGGGTCTCTGAGCAACACTAGAAGTGAATTGACACAAATCTTCATGGCCTTTCCCAGGGCCAGGGCCTAATTTTATGTTTGTATTCTTGAAGAGGGCCCCAAATTGTTTAGGCTTTGGGCCTCATAAAACCTGGATCTGTTCCTGGATAGCTCCATAAAAGGTTTATATGGAAGAGACAAAACCAGCCACCCCAGTTTGTCCAGGACTGTCCCAGACTTGGCACTGGAAGTCTTGTGTCCCAGAAACCCCTCAATTTGGGGCAAACCAAGACTGTAGGTCACCCTGCAGGGATTCCTGCAGTGGTATGGGAGAAGGTTCAGGAGAATTTGGTGTCAGGAGCCTGCCATTCTGTTTAAGTCATGTGCTGGGAGGCTGCCTGCTTGGCCCAGTGGTGCTGGGTTCTGGGTCCCTGCCTCCACCAAGGAGCCCCCTGCTCTCCCGTCCTAGTGACCTGGCTTGTTCTCAGTGAGATATATCCCGAGGAGATCCGAGGGAGAGCCTTTGCCTTCTGCAACAGCTTCAACTGGGTCACCAACCTCTTCATCAGCCTCTCCTTCCTCGATGTCATCAGTAAGTCCCCCCCAGACAAACCCACTCCCTTGTCAGTGGCCCAACACCTCCCCACCCCCATAACGAAAGAGTTTTTTAATTTTCCCATTTGTAGCTTCCCACTTCCAGAATTATTATGTGCAGAAACCTAAGGTTCTATTACATTTCTACTCTCTGTGGCCAAGAGTTTCTTCCTCAAAGGCACAGCCAACTCAAGGGTGGGGGGAATTGTAGTAGGAGAACCCGCCCACCATGGCTGTCTTCCACCTCCAGTCTTAGGGAATCCACACTTCTCTCTGCTGCCCCAGTCTTCAAGCATTTTCCTTTAAGTGGAATGAATGAGTGAGTGGGAGAGGGGAAAGGAGAGAGGGAGGGAAGAGGGAAGGAAGGAGAGCTTATTAGAATTGTGTCCTATCATTATTATCCCCATTTCATAGATGGGCAGATAGGATAATACATCCTTCCCAAGTTCATCCAGGTAGTCAGAAGACTAGAACCAGCCCCCACCCCACCCTGACTCCCAGCCTAGTGCTCTTCCTGCTGGACACCAGGTCCAGCTGGTCAGGAGCAGCTGCTTGAAGGAGGTATGGCCATGGCTGTCAGCGGTGAGAATGGTGTCCTGTCCAAAACATAATCTGTGCTTCCACCTTAACAGAGACTCTTTTCTTCCACATTCTCTTTGTTTGGGGCTGACTGTCTTTAGAGGATTTGAGATCACCCCCTTCCTCGTCCCTAGCCCTTATCTGAGGCCCCAGGAGAAGAGAGGGGCTAGAATTCCATGCCTTCCTCTCCCCTGGGACTGAACTGTGGCTTCCGTCCTCTTTCTCACATCAGTCAGACCAAATTGGCTGAAACTCACTTCCCTGAATGATCAATCCATCGCATTACCAATTCATGGGATTTCTCAGGCAAAACTGAGCTTTGCCAAAGCTGCATCCATGCAGGTGTTCTGCTGTGTGTGTGTGTGTGTGTGTGTGTGTGTGTGTGTGATAATAGAGATGGGTCTCACTCTTGCTTAGGCTGGTCTCGCACTGCTGAGCTCAAGGGATCCCTCCCCCACAGAGTGCTAGGATTGCGGGTGTGAGCCACCACTCCCAGCCACGTTTTGTCACTTTCCCTCAGTGCAGGCTTCCTGATTCTGAGACTGCTCCAATGATTAGTGTCTGGAAATGGTGTAGTGGCCTTTCCCATAAACACAAGTTGCCTTGTCTTTATGTGTATGGACTCGTGTGTGCCCTGACTCTTTCCTGCCTTTGGAACAGCCCATGAGATTCCTGCTTTAAGGTTCTTTCTGACACTTTGTTAGTTACTCTGCAAATCGACCATCTGGAACAGCTGCTGTGTGAACTGATTTGGAACGCTCAACCTGGAAGCCGTCAGATGGCCCAGGCTGTGGGGCCCACACTCCTGCCCTCCTGTTCCCAGGTGCCATCGGTTTGTCCTGGACCTTCCTGCTCTACGGACTGACCGCTGCTCTTGGCCTGGGCTTCATTTACTTATTTGTTCCTGAAACAAAAGGCCAGTCCTTGGCGGAGATAGACCAGCAGTTCCAGAAGAGACGGTAGGAAGCAGACAGGACGGGCCCTGGGGGAAGAGCTGTATGGAACCATGTATCAAACCCTGAGCATGTAGCTTCAAGATTTGGGTTCTTGTACTTTTCCTTGCAAGAGAGCATTCCTCCTCTCTTCCGTCTCTCCTACTGCCTGGGGGCTGTGAGTTTTGTTCTGCGAGCTGTTTCCTTCAGTTTAGTGTCTTCCTACAGCATCTTTTCATTTGACTTTAAAGTTCAGCTCACAGGGATTTAAAATCACTCAATTACGCAATCACAGGTGGTCAGGATAGTGGAATCTTAAAATCAAAGAACCTTAAGAGTCATAGATCAAAGCATTGTAACTATGGCCTTTGGCCAGGCGTGGTGGCTCAGGCCTGTAATACTAGCATTCTGGGAGGCCGAGGCGGGTGGATGGCCTGAGCTCACAGGTTCAAGACCAGCCTGAGCCAGAGCAAGATCTTGTCTCTAAAAATAGCTGGGCATTGAGGTGGGCATCTGTAGTCCCAGCTACTTGGGAGGCTGAAGCAAGAGAATCACTTGAGCTCAAGAGTTTGAGGTTGCTGTGAGCTATGATGCCATGGCACTCTACCAAGGGCAACATAGTGAGACTCCATCTACAAAAAAACAAAAAACTATGGCCTTTGTGTACACAAAACATGTACATTAAACATGGGCTTAATCCATTCATTCAGTGGGTATTAAGTCCTTACCATGTGCCAGACAGTGTTTGGGGTCTTAGGAAATATACCCAAGATTACAGATGACAAGATCCTTCTCCTCAGGGAGCTTCCACTTGAGTGGGGGGAGAGGAACAGAAAATCCTCAAGCTAACAAATACATGAGAAAGAGCATTTTAGTTGGTAATTGTAATTAGAAGAAAAGGAAACAGAGCAAAATATGTGGAGAGGGCCAGGTTGGCAGAGAGGCGGGGAGAGGAGAAAAGGGGTGTGGCTAAATTCAAGTGGGTGGGCAGAGAGGAAAGACCTCTCTGAAAAAGTGCAGTGTAAGTAGGAAGAAGGGAGCAGCTATGTTAAGATGGGAGGGGCATTCCAAATGGAGGAACAGCCAGTGCAAAGGCCCTGAGGTGAGAGTGTATCTGACATAGGGAGGGAGGCAGGAGGGGGAAAAGATTGGATAGGTAGGAGGTAGAGTACATCAGGGTTTTAGGTCATTGGGGAGAGTTTAGTATCTCAGCATCATGGCACCTGAGGCTAGTCAAATAGAAGAGTAGAATGGGAGCTTTGGAAGAGACCTCAAGGGACTGCAATCCTAAACATTCTTGACAGATGTCCACTGTTACCTCGTGTAGTAAAAGGCAGCTCCTGACTGCCTATTTTATTTATGGGAAGTCCTAGAAGGTTTTTAGAAATTGTTCTAAGACTGAGTTGGAACTGGCTACCCTGAGCTGCCAGCCCATGCCCAGCCCAGTCTGGCCTCTGCAGCGATGCAGGACTAGTTTCATGTCAAGATCTCTAACCTGGCCCAGAGTGTTCTCTGCCAGCTGAACGCTCCCAGCGTGCTGATCACACCTTCCATAGCCCCTCAGCACCCTCAGCTGTATTTAATAGGAAATAGATTTGGCTGCTTGGAATAATCTGACTGAGGGGTTGGGGAGCCTAGATGCCTTTTGTCTTGTCACTCTGTCAACTCTTCAATATTGCCTTTTCTGTGTGGCTCATGATGGTACACCACCACCTTCCTGCAGGAGGACAGGGGACACAATCCTTAAGGTCACTTCCACCCACCTCCCTTTGGATAGAACTTGGGAAAGAAAAGCTGATAATGTGGTTTTAAATCTGGTCAGCCATGTGCCTAGCTAAAAGTCAAGGGTTCTGCTACTAAACAGCTGCCTGGAATCTTGTTTTGAAAGAAGATTCCAGACCCATCCCCCGGAATAAGAGCAAAGTGGGTATAAGGCAGGTGGAAGCCAGGTGAGATGTGATTGCAACTCGGGGGGAGTGTCAGGCTGCACCTGGGGGTCTTGGGGGGGAGCCTGGGTCAGCCCTTGGTGACAGAGGTTGGGTCTGCCCTGACTCTGGCGAAGACAAGAAGTTAGGGGCCTTGGTAGAGTCCACAGACAGATCTAAGTTTCATAACCCCAATCCCTATACTTCAGGGACCTCCTGATATAAGAGGCCACAGAAAGAGAAAAGAACTTGACCTTGGGGGACACAGGGACCAGGGAAGCTACAGTGGTTTTGATGGCCAAAACTAATGGGATAGTCTTTTCAAAACCAACTTTTTCTTTTTTCTTTCCTGTGTTGCTTCACCCAAGGGTTACATTCCCAGGAGAAATTCTGATTGGCCGAGCTTGTTTTCTGTGCCCAGCCCCTAACTCCAACTGGGCCAGGATAGGGCCGGGCTCCTTGATTGACAGTCCTACCAAGACCACTTTCAACCAGCGGAAGAGATGCTGGATACTGTGTCTTCCTCTGTTATGCTTGTTTCTGTTTCATCCCTGCTCCGGAGATGTTCTTGTTAGAAACAGGCACCTACATCTTATAGGTCCGGTGCCTCTACCTTCTTTAGGGCGGTCGCCCAAGGGCACAAACCCTCTCATGATCAGTGGTAGGTAGTTGTCATAAGGTTATTCCTTTCATTTTTTGGTCAAGGTTCAAAATAAATATCCCGTCCATCCTCCTGGGTGATATAACCACTGGGTGGGGGGAGGGCAACTTTCAAAAATTCCTGTTTTAGCGTGATTTCTCAAGAATCCATTCACTCAATTGACTCAGGCACTGCAGTAGGCTCTGGGACAGCCCCCTGATGGAGCGAGATCCTGTCTCTGGACTGAAGAGGGAGCTACGTTTCAAGGGAGAGAGATAGACTCCAAAACACATAAATGCATGAATAAGATCTTGTCAGAGTGATATTTATATCATGCAGGAAATAAGGCAGGTTAATGCACCAGAGGGTGAGCGGTGGATCTGGGGGGTGGGTACAGTTTCCTTGGCTGGGGTGCAGGCATGCTTTGAGTGCGCTCATGTCACCAGTTCATCATGAATTCTGCATGAGCACGGTGGCATTTTTGTGTGTGTGTTTCACTCAGTGCTCTATTCCCGGGCCTGGGACAATGCCTAGTGCATCCCAGGTCACCAGTAGATACATCTCTGTTGAATGAGTGAAAGGGAGCTGAGGCCTGAATAATGAGAAACCGCCAACCATTTCAAGAGCTGCAAGAAGTGTCTAGGCAGAGGGCACAGCGAGAGCAAAGGTCCTGAGGCAGGAGCAAGTTAGCTACTTTGAAGGGAGAGACAGGAGGCCACTGTGGCCAGGGTATGAAGAGCCTGTGGGAGTGGAGGGAGATGATGGTGCAGAGGTTGGCCATGGTGATGACCTTGGATCTGGGCTGGTGTCATGAGGACCTCCTTTTAAGCAGAAGAGTGATTTTTGTGTTTTGTTCTAGCTGTGAGATGGGGCGGGGGTAGGGGGGGAGAAGGGGCAGCAGGGGGTGAGACCCAGGGACACCAGGCAGGAGCTGTTGGGGAGTCCGGGTGAGATGATCGAAATGCACATGAAGGCAGGAAGCAGCAAGGGTGAGGTCCCCAGTGGACGGTCCACTGCCACCGCCCGTCACTCCCCATCCCACTCATTCTGTTTGACAGGTTCACCCTGAGTTTTGGCCACAGGCAGCGCTCAGCTGGTGTCCAGTACAGCCGCCTTGAGGCCTCAGTGGCCCCCTGAGAAGCCCCTCTGAGCCATGGCTTCAGCAGACCACCTCCAGCTTCCTGCTTTCCAGGTCCCAAGCACAAGTTCCAGTGGCCCTTCAGGAGCTGCCCTACCCTAAAGGAGGTCTTTTTTGCTGGGGTGAGAGGAATGACAGTCTGAGAACCCCAAATGCTTGATTTTGAGTCTCAGACCCTGAAAGTTCCCAGTGATCTAGCTCCATGCCTCAGTTTCCCCACTGACTGCACATCTCTGCAGTATATTTAACAAGAGCAACTTACAGGGTCTTGTTGCAGCCTGGACTTTCTCAGAGAATCTTTAGAGTACCAATCCTGGGGGGAAGTCACTCCTAAATCCAACTGAGTCACCCCTAAATCCAACTGAGAATATCAGGGCTTACACTCTCTTTTTATCTGGCTGAGACATCCCAGTGACCGGTAGGCCTGCTTTGTGGCTCTTATTTCTGAGTTTTGTTCAAGCTTTCTAATTCTCTTATCCAGAATATTATTTAGCAGCAAGTCTGGTTGAGACCTGAGTGCTACTTCTGGTTCTGCTGGTGTCACTGCAGTGTGACCAGGGGCCTTCGTCCCCCATGCATAATGGGGGGCCTGGACCAGGTCATTAGTAAGGTCCCTTCTGCCTGCACTGAGCTGGAGTTCTAAATGCTGGTAACACTACAGATATTCACATGGGCCCTGCTCTCAAGTTGCTGGGTACTTCTTTAAGAGATAAGGTTTTAATTTGTAGAAGTGGTAGGATTCTAGAGCTGTGCACACTGAAATCCAGGAAGCCAGCACAGCACCTGTAAACAAGCACCAGGGGCTGTTTCCAGAATGGTGCAGGCTGGCTTTGCAGAAGGAGATGGGTTTGGAGGTCAACAATCCTGGTGGTCAGGGTCATCTCCACCTCTTGGCAGCCATGGGCGTTGGGTAAGTAACAAGACCACAGTTCCTTTGTCTATAGAATGGGACAATTTGGCCCTAAGGGTGTATTTAACCCCAGGCTCCCTTCAGGAGGGTCCTCAGCTGGTCCATGGCCAGTCCTGGCTAAACTGCATGTATATTTGACTTTGGATATGAGTGTTTCTGCTCACCCTCTGTTACCCATGTCCCCACTTTTGGGACATGGGGACTGAGCAAGTAGCTGAGGCTGGAAGTCACTTGAGGAAGGGGCTGACAAGAAGGAGCTGTGAGATGCTGAGGAGGATGGGGATCCTGGGTGCGGACGCTGGACCAAACTTCATCATCCCTGCCTGTGCACCTGGGTGCTGGCATAGCCCCCGGGAACCCTGGCCCCTCAAATTCTCCTCTCCTCTCGTTTGCCAGGTGCCTCCCTTCTATCCAGTGGAGTGCTGGAGCTGGCTGTGCTGGCTTGTGAGAGCTAACCTCATTTTCAAGATGTTTTCAAGCTAGTTGGTAATCACAGCCTTTATAAAAAAAAAAAAATGTTTCAAATGTATGATTAAGTAAGTTATATTAAAACAAAGCTATCTACGATCTCAAAACTTATCACCTCTTAATTCTTTTACTGTGATTTACTGTTACTCTGTGCTCTTGAGTTTGCCTCCATGCCGTGTATTTTGCGGGGGCCGTGGGGAGGCAGCATACGTCCCTTCCCGATCCTGTGTTCAGCGATATCACGTGGGTTATGTGTTGCTCAACTGACTACGGAGAATATATTTATGTCACAGAGATTACAGAGCATTTCGGGTCTGGGCTTTATTTATTGTTCTGTTGATTTTCTAGCCTTAAGAACATGTGAGATTCAATGGTAATAATGCAAATTAGGCTTAAAAGTGTGTCTTGTTTATAGTCGACTCATTGTGACTAGCACAAAAAATGGAGGGAATATTCTCCCAGTATTTGAAGCCCATTGTTCAGTTCTGCGGGCGTTTGCTCATGTCCCTGAAGGGGGCGCTGTGTCTTTATTGTTTTCCTTTCGTCTTCCTGGTTAATGCCAACAAAAATTGCAATTAGCATTCCTGCTAGACCTAAACTCTTTCTATGGTGTGATTAGTCATTTTTATTATCTAATTTTGTCAAATGATGGCTAAACCGCAGGGATAATTGGCTTTGGATACAAATGTGTGGCAAAAAATCAAAAAAAGCATTCTGTAAGAGCTAATTGGCTAGCTGGAAATTATATTAATAATAAAGAGTATTTACAATGAGGAGTTATTTTTGTTGGATTGTTTTGAGACAGTCTTACTCTTTTGCCCCAGGCTAAAGTGCCCTGGCTTCAACCTAGCTCATAGCAACCTCAAACTCCTGCATCCTACTGCCTTAGCCTCCCCAGTAGCTGGAACTATAGGCACCCTGCACAAGGCCTGGCTGTTTTTCTAATATTAGTAGAGATGGGATCTTGCTTTTGTTCAGGCTGGTCTTGAACTCCTGAGCTCAAGCAATCTACCTGCTTCCGCCTCCCAGAGTTCTAGGATTACAGGCATGAGCCACCTCGCCCAGCCTACAAGGAAGAGTTTATTATTTATAAATTGTGTACAATGAGTGCACCTTTTATCACAGTAAAATTTACACACACACACTTTTCCCCTTGGAGAGCATTTGTTAAATATTTACCAGCTTCTATCTGTGCCTGTGACCCCTTCAAATCAGTTCTTTTTCCATGGACCCATAAACCTTTCTCAATTTTCTTTTCCCCTCCTGTCAGCCTAGAAGAATTCTTTTCTAGTCTTACTGTGGATTTTTGTCTTTCTTCATCATGGTCGAAAACTTAGAGATCAGGCAGGGAATGTAAACGACTGAAGCCAGTTGTGGTAAGACTATAGGGAACAGTGGAGTCTGTGGAAATTGGCAAACACAGGTCCTCTCTAAAAATGAACATCTGACACTCAATTTCAGCTGGTGGCTTCCTTGTAGAGATGTGGACCTAATGTGGCCTGATCATCTGAATTTTCAAAAATAGCCAGAAATTCCAACTTTGGTGCAAATTTTCCTGATTTTTAAGTACTGGCAATTGCTGCTGCTGCTGCTGCTGCTTTGTTGTTGTTGTTGTTGTTGCAGTTTGTCCGGAGCCACATTTGAACCCACCACCCTCAGTATATGGGACCAGCGTCCTACCTACTGAGCCACAGGCACCACCCCGTGGCAATTGCTTCTAAACTAAATAGCTTACAGCTAGATCCACACCTCTATTCTTGAGTTTTTCCCTTTGAGACAATTTTTTATTCTGAATTTTTGAGGCTGTCAGATTGAAGAACCATGACTTTTAAAAATCTATGCCAAGCAAACTGAATAGCCAAGAACTTGAATTGGGTGGGCGGGAGAGGGTGCTATTGAACTGAAAGGAAGTGGTACCTGGAGGGAATAAAAATAGTCCTTATCGCAAACATATTAGGGCAGCACAGTTAATGTGTGACGTGAGTAATTGCTCATCCATGTTATGGGTACAACACTACCTACTCTTTGGAGGTGACGCACATCAATCACTTTGGTGAGTGCTGCTAAATGCCTGAGTAACTGAGCAGCCTCTGGGGACATCTGGCTGTGGGTGAGGACAATGAAGGCAAGAACCAGGTGACAACTGGGGATAGGGAGGCACCAAAGAAAACTAAGTATTGGGGACCACAAACTAGGTGCTCAGGGGTCTTTAGCACCAGCCAGAACAGAGACATGTTCTGTTCATTGATCTGCAGGGCAGGTGCTAGGAAATCCTTCTCCCACATAATACCCTAATCACCAGCTAGGGAAGCAGCTTCCAAATCCCAGTCTCTTTTATTTCTGAGACAGAGTCTCACTATGTTGCCCTGGGTAGAGTGCCACTGCATCACATCTCATAGCAACCTCCAACTCCTGGGCTCAAGTGATCCTCTCATTTCAGTTTTCCAAGTAGCTAGGACTACAGGCACCCACCACAACACCCAGCTAGTTTTTTGTTTGTTTGTTTATTTGTTTTTTAGAGACAGGATCTTGCTCTTCCTCAGGTTAATCTCAAACTCCTGAGCTCAAGCAATCCACTCACCTCAGCCTCCCAGAGTTCTAGGATTACAGATGTGAGCCACCACACATGCGACCCCAAACCCTAGTCTTCATGCATGTGCAGCCCATGGGTAACGTGTTGCCCGTTGCTTAGCATCTTTGATTATCCGCCAAACGGTGCTACGTGGACTACTTAACTGAAAGTTTTTCTTTAAACTGTTTTGCTTTCCCACCTAAGTGTAAAAGGAAACTATATTAGTTTATTTTTCCCTCAGATGCATATTTATTGTCTGTTATGTGCCAGGCACCGTTCTAGACCCTAAGGACACAGCAGTGAAGAGGACAAGATCCCTGTCCTCATGGAGCTGACATTTTAGCAGGGAAGGTCAATTTAAAACAAGAAAGAAGACTGGGTGCAGGAGCTCACACCTGAAATCCCAGCACTCTGGGAGGCCGAGGAGGGTGGATTGACTGAGCTCACAGGTTCAAGACCAACCTGAGCCAGAGCGAGACCTCATCTCTAAAAATAGCCAGGTGTTATAGCAGGGGTCTGTAATCCCAACTACTTGGGAGGCTGAGGCAAGAGGATCACTTGAGCCCAAGAGTTTGAGGTTGCTGTGAGCTATGATGCTACAGTACTCTACCAAAGGCTACAAAGTGAGACTCTATCTTAAAATAAGAAGGCCAGATGCAGTAACTAACGCCCGTAATCCTAGCACTCTAGGAGCCCAAAGCAGGTAGATTGCTTGAGCTCAGAAGTTCAAGACCAGCCTGAGCAAGAGCGAGACCCCCATTTCTATTAAAAATAGAGAAAAGTGGACAGGCATTATGCTGGGTGCCTGTAGTCCCTCTTACTCAGGAGGCTGAGACAAGAGGGTCACTGGAGCCCAGCAGTCTGAAGTTACTGTGAGCTTGGCTGATGCCGCAGCACTCTAGCCTGGGGCAAAAAGGGAGACTCTATTGCAAATAAAAAAGAGAGAGAGAAAGAAACAAGAAAGACATGGGGAGGAGGGGAGGAAAGAAAAAAGGAAAAAAAGAAGGAAGGAAGGATGGCTAGAAAGAAGGGTAAAGAGCAAGTGAGGAAAGGAGGGAAGGAAAAGTAGGTAGAGAGAGAGATCAGTTAGCCACAAGGGGGTCATTTGCAGATGTTTGGGTGCTATTTTAGTTGGGTAGCTGGGGCACTCAGGAAGAGCCTCTTTGAGGTGGTGGCATCTGAGCAGAGACCTGAATGAAGGTTTAGAGTGAGCCAGGAGAAGATCTGGAGGAAGAGCATCCCAGGCAGCTGGTACGGCATGTGCAAAGGCCCTGGGGTGAGACTGGGCTCTGCATATTGGGGGAACATCAAGTAGATGTGCAGAGTGATGGAAGAAGAGGCTGAGGTGGGTAGGGGTCTGACTATGAAGAATCTTCCAGGCCACAGAAAGGACTCCTCTAGGAAGGAGTGAAGGAGCCAGGCAGGGGTGGCTTCCTTCAGGAGAGGACAAGGCTGTGTAGACACAGTTACTTCCTTTCTGCTGCTTCTGAAGGGCTGGCCGTCCAGGGGAAGGCAAAGGGGCAAGAGAAGGGACAAGATGTGAAACCCAACACTGCCCACACCAGAGGCTGTAATAACCAAGCCCCCAGCCCTTGACCCCCTCCCTAAGGCCAGTGGGGAACAAGCCCCCTACTCTTGAAAAGGAAGCCTTTCCTAAGCTTTTAGTTCCAGCCCTCTCAAGGGTAGAGAAACAGCCTGAAATTAAGGAAATATGCAGGGAGGGGTTGATTCCAAATAAGGCCCCAGGTGAAGAGGTCCCAAGTTGTTCTTGGAAATTTACCCAACACTTGTCTTGTACCCCTGAACTATGAACTAATGTACCCTAAGTAAACATGTATTTTTACTCTGAATTGTGTAAACCCCTATGACATACCCCATCTTATGATCATGAAGTAATGTACGTGTGATATATCTTGTGATTATGAGCCAATGTGTACCCCCACCTTGTGACCCCCTGCTTTAACCGCTGTGATTGGCTTCTGTATTGCACTAGCTTGCTGAGCACTGTATAAAAGAGCCCTTCACCTGCCACTCGGGGCTGCTGCACACCCTTATAGTGTCTCAGCCCACCTGCAGGTGTCCAAATTATCAATAAATTTCTATTACCTGATTATACCTGAAGTGGGGTCCATCCTTCTCTCAGCTGCCGGGATTACAACAAGGCCATCAACGTTTCAAGGGGGAATCTCTGTCCTTGCCTGGCAGAATGGGCAAGCTGAGACCGATGGAGCTGATGGACTGAGCAACCCTCTCAGCTCCTGTCAGCTGCTCCAGTGACCTAACATTCTCATTCTGCTGAATCACTGGGCTTCTGATGAATAAAGCTTGTTTGGCCCTAAACCCTGCCTCTGCATATTGGGTGACCTGGCCTCTCCTAGTTCCTGACTATGCAATCCCAGGGGCCTATGTCCCATTTCACCTTGTACACTCTGAACAAGTTCAACCTCAAGCACCTGTCACTTTCAGGGTTTTATCTCCAACATCCCATTTCCTGGTGACCTTGTCCTGACCTTCCCACTCATACCCCAATGCTTCCCCATGGCAACAATTCTCTGAGCTCACTGAGAACTTTGACCTCTAAATACCAACCCCTGATTGCACGAATCTCTTCCTGCCTTTGCTGTCCTTCTCATCCATCCTGGGTGCCACATCCCCACTTTGTAATCCATCCCTTGCAAACACCCTCTGGTACACTTGGAAATGCTAATCTGGGATTAATTTACACACCCGTTTTCTCTGTGCTTGCAGGTGGGCTGTGAGGGTGTAGGTGGCAAGCCATGCAACCTGACAAACAGGTTCCACTTGAAATCCGTGAGTTCAAACCTCAGACTCACCCTCCAAACCCTCCCACGTGGCTCACTTCCCTCTCCCTGACTCAGCAGTTTGATAAGGTCTTCTTGGTGGAAACTTCTCCTGTCTCTTTCATCTCCCTCAGGCTCAGCTGCTAACCTTGTCTCGTAGTTCACTGAATGGACAGCAGTTTTTGAAAGAGGGACAGAGCCTTCCCCCTGCTATCTGTTATCTCTTGAAATACAGCAACACAGCCCCTGATGTTTAGCCTGCAATGTGGCTGCACAGACTAAACACTACATTTCCCAGACTCCTTTGCAGCCTGGTATGGCCACGTGACCAAGATCAGACTGGTGTGAGTGAGCAAAAGTGATATGTTCAACGTCCAGGCAAGCCTTATGGCAGAGAAAACTGATTGTCCCTCCAAATTCAGTTTCTCTTGTTTCTTTTTAGTAATAGAAATCCCTTTGTTTTAGCTGAATATGTGGCCATCCAGCTAAAGATGATATCCCTAGCTTCCCTTGTAGTAGAAGGGCCATGTGACTAAGTTCTGGCCAATGGGATGTGAGCAGTAGCAGTGTGCAACTTCTGGGACATTCATTCCCTAAAAAGGAAGCTGTTTTCACTAGACAAATGTGGGTCATAATGAGTATGCAAAGAGGAAGGTGGAACAAGATGAAAGATAACTTTGTGAACTAATCCCCTGCTGGTCTGTTAAGATGCCCAGTACTAGGCTGTTAACGTGAAAGAGGAACGAATTTCTATCTTACCTGAGCCACCTTATTTTAGCATCCCTGTTGTTACAGCATCTTAGTGGTAACCTTGGGTGGAATGGAAGCGTCCTTTTCCTTCTCCCATTCTTGTTGCCTGAAATGAGCACATGTTAGGAAACCATCTTGGACTATTCAGAGGGGGTCAACATTCTAGGGATCATGGGGCATTAAGCTATAAAGAGCCTGGATCCCTGCTGACTTTATGGAGCAGAGTGACAGGAGCAATCTGGAGTATTACATGAAAGAGAAATACTTTCTATCTTGTTTAAGACATTGTTACTCCATGTGTCTGTTACTGTTACCCTAAAGAGAGCTACTACCAAAATTATAGACATGTCCATTATGTCTGCCTTATCCTCCATCCTCCTACCATAATATAATCCCCGCGGGTGGACTGTAGGGGAGATATCATGAGATATCATCCCTACATTATACCTTGGTGAGCCTCTCTATCTTCTAAATCATCAGCCTCACTATCTGTTGGGCCAGATTGAGTCCCTTGTGAATTTCCTCCATGGCACTTACTTTGGTGTTATTTTATTTGAGTGCCTGTGTACTAGGATTTGAACTAAATTCCTCTATCTCTCTTCAAGATGTCACTTTCTAAAATCATAAGTGACAAAAATTCAATCCAAGTAGTTATAAGCAAAAGGGAAATTGACTGGCTCACATAGAGCCCTGTGGTGGACTTCAGGCATAGCTGGAGCTAGTGGTTCAAGTAATGTCACCAGAAATCTGATTCTTTCCATGTGTTGCCTCTTCTTTTTTCTATGGTGCCTTTTTTTGTAAGGTGGGCTCTTCTTATAGGTGGCAAAGATGTGCCTCAGTAGCTTTAGGCTGATACCTTACTAGCTTAGCAGCCCCAAAAGAAGGAGACTCAAGGGGCTGACTTATATTCCTTCAGATTGAGTCAAGTGCCATCTCTGAACCCATCAATGTGACTCTGCTTGACCAGGTTTTAGTACATATAATATCTCAGAACACATATTGAGGATCACCTTCCAATGTGCCCTGGTCCTCCTGGGCTGATTGGTTTCCAATGCTACCTCCACATCCACTTGGTGGCTGGTGGTCCCCTGACCTTTGATCCCAAAGAGAAAGATCAGAAAAAGACACTGCTTCATGAGCACTTCATCCATACCCTGCCCTCCCAGGATGGGCCCTGAGAGAGATGGAACCCAGGCTGGAGAGAACTCAAAGGAGCTGCCAGGGAGAAATTAGCAGAGGCTATTGGGGCCAGGCTTTCCAGCCCACCCAAGGGCTGTCCCAAGCTTCTGCTCTGTCCCAGGGCCAGCTTTGGGTTCTCTATTTGTTCATTTCACTTTTCAGAGCAAATATTTTTTCATCTGTGGCCTAGGAGGAAGATGGAATTGTGATGGTGGTGGGCAGGGAACCCAAGATTCTCAAAGATACCCTCTGAAAATATTTCCAGACTCCGACATGCTGGGTCACACCCAGGACAGAAAATAATTTATCATGGATGGTTTGGCAGGTGGGTTTGAAGGTTTTCCTCCTTGGGAAATGACATAGTAGAAAAGCTGACATTCTGCTTTTAATTGATTCCTACAAGATGAGGAAAAGTCCCAAGCAGATTGTTATATTGAAAGCGTCCTATTCTGAATGAGATTAAATAACCTGAATAATATTCAGTCTCAAAAATTGTTCTATTTAACATTATGAATGGTGGCACATCAAAATAGAATATCATTTCAAAATTGGAATATACTCTTATTTAGCTTTGCTTTGTATTAGAATTGCACTAATAAAAAAAATTGTACCCTCAATGATTCTCCAGCAATTAAAAAAAAAAATTGCACTACAGTTAAAACTTAAAACATTTGTTGACTGAAGTTTGGGCCTTCTGAAATTAATTAACATCCTCTCTCAATAGTCATATGAGCTTTTACTTTTATAAAATACTTGAGTCTTTAACAATTGTTTTTGCACTAAATCAACAGCTTTCTCAGTCTCAGTGTGTGTGTGTGTGTTTCCACTGAATTTGGCATCATGGCAAAGTTGCTAAATTCTTCCAGATCTGAGGTCAGATGCCATCCCAACGCTTCTGGCTTGACAGGTTGGGTTAGTGGTTACTGAGAAATAATCCCCAAAGCTCTCTCTGTAGCAAAGTATTCTTCCATTAATAAATATTGCATGTGCCTTTAAACTGACTAATAGAATTTCAAAATCTAAAGCAATAAGGAGAGTTTTTTCTAAAAGCCTCCAAGTTACATCTCAAAGCTGAATAACATGCCAATTTTCAGCCTGAACATTGAGACATCTAAGCCAGGGCCTCAGAGTAAGAAACCTGGAATAGACCTGAACTTGACCTGCAGCCTGCAGCTGGGCTATTCCAGCCAACTCACATATCTGCAAACAAGAAAGAAATGCTAATGAAGGGCCTGGGGTTGTTTGTTACGCAGCAGATGCTGACTAACAGGAATCTAAGCAGGCAGGAAGTGTCTACCTCACTCGTGGAGGACACCCTTGCCATGCCCGAAAACCCCAACTTAGAAAATAATAATAGCAATCTGGTTTTTGTTTCCACAAAAGAAAAATAGTGGAAAACATAGGCAAAAAAAATAATCAACTATGCCCTCCCACTCAGATAGAATCATTAACAAGATTTGGTGTGTCCCCATCTAACTTCTTACCTCTGACGACGGAGCAAGTTACGAGATAGCTCAGGGGCAGCCACATCCTTCCTGTTGTTCAGATCAAAAGCTTTGGCAGATTCCCTGCTCCTCTTTTCCTCTTTCACATTTAAGCTGTCAGCAAATCTTGGAGGCCCGGTGACTACCTCCTGCATCTTCATCACTCCGTCCTCCAGTCTCTCACCTGGCTTGGGGTTGCAACAGCGTCCTGACAGGTGTCCTTACCTCTGTCCTTGCCCCCAGCTGTCCCCCATGCAGCAGACAGAGGATCTCTTAAAACCCAAGTCATTTTCACCT